AGGCCTGGTCCTGGCCACGCGAACGGCAATGCTGCTTAAGGGTAATGTTGGGAACCAACTTATAGGACATCGCGACTCACACTTTCTCACGTTTCCAATATGCAGATGTATCGAACGAAAACGACACAGCGAATTGCAAGAAAGCGCGAGCCACGCGTTCCCACAATACCGAAACCTACCTCGCCGTTGCTTACATCGTGGTTCGCGTTGACGGAAAACGAAACAAAAACGCCATGAACATCATTGTGTGGCGCTCCGCGCGGATTTCTTGGGAAGCCCAGGATAGCGGCCTCCTAAAAGAGGGTTGCAAGATCTCGCCGCATCGCCGATACAGTCCACCCGTAGAATAAGGATGCGCGGTAAGGGTGCAAGGGCCTCGGAGGGCCCTGCTAAGGCTTTTCGAACAAGGCTGGCCAGCGAAAGTCACCAAGGGTGGGCCGAAGAGTCAAGGATGCGAGGGTAGCGTTGGAAAGTCGCTCATCCCTACTATGCGGGTTGACTGTACATCGGCGATGCATCGCCGATGCATCGGCGATGCACTGGCGACGTCGACGGTGCATCGGCGACGTCGGCGTGGAGAACATTGGGCCCCACAACGAGCCGCATCGCCGATGCATCGCCGATGCATCGGCGATGCGGCGCGATCCTTCGACCCCATCTACAGTCAGCCCGTAGAGTAAGGATGCGCGATAAGGATGCAAGGCCCTTGGAAGCCCATTTCGAAGTTTTCGAGCGGGGCGCGACCAACGAAAGTGGCCCAGGATGCACCGAAGAGGCGAGGATGCGCGGGTACCCCTGGGAAGGTTCTCCGTCCTTCCTATGCGGGTTGACTGCACTCCGACCCCATCTAGGAGGCCTAGACAGGAGGCCCCTGGCTGTCTGAGCCTCTTTCGAGGCCACCTCCGAAGCCACAGCGAGCCTGCGCTGTGGGGCCTCGCGCCCCTGCGGCCCCGCTCGAGCACCGCGGGAGCAGAGGAAGTGTTGCGGCGGGGCGGTCGCCGCGGTCGCCCTTCCACGTCCGTGCCAGTGATGCGTATGACGTGCAGCGGGGCGGTCGCCGCGGTGGCCGATGATGCTTATGACGGTGTTCGTTTCGTCTCCTTCGTTTTCTTCTGCTTCTTCTTATTCGTTTTCTTCTTATTATTATTCTTCTTTTTCTTCTGCTTCTTATTATTCGTATTCGTCTTATTCTTACTCTTCGAGCAGACAGGTTCTCAGAGGGCCAGGGGCCTCCTGGGCTTTCTGAGGAGGCCCGCCCCCTCTTCCCCCCCATGGGCGCGCCGCGAAAACGCGAGCGGGGCAATGGCCTGCGGAAGACATGCGGGACGCACGTGCAGGAGGACACGGCAAAAAGTGAGGCGCGCACGATGTGAAGACGTGCGCGAAAGCCACTGAACAAAGCGGCACCATAAAGAGAGAAGGGAGAAGAGGAGGAATCCGTGTCGCCGGCTGGGCGGGTGCTGGTTGAGGGGCAACGATAGGGGGATGGGCATAGGTGGGGGAAGAAGCATCGACCTGGAGTTGGCGATACATCGCCGATAGATCGGCGACAGGCCGCCGATGGCGAACCCGCACCTTCCTGGGCGGGGTGGGGCTATCGGGCCCCTATCGGCGATCAATGGCGATTCGGGGTCGATGCATCCCCCCCCCTATGCATATCCCTCCCATCGTTGCCCCCGAAGGCAACTCTCAGCGGTGCCGCCACACTGGTGGCGTTCCGAGATCGCGCGCCCTTGGTCAGGGCCAAGCCCTGGTGGGCCTGTTTTCCACCACCACCACCACCATAATCAGGAGGGGGAGGGGTCCTCCCCCTCCTCCTCCTCGTCCTCCTCCCCCTCCTCCTCCTCCTCCTCCTCCTCCTCCTCCTCCTCCTCCTCTTCTTCTCCTCCTCCTCCTCCTCCTCCTCGTCGTCCTCCTCCTCCTCGTCCTCGCTCCACCTCGTCCTCGTCCTCCCCGCCCCCCCCCCCCCCTATCGTTGCCCCTGAGGAAAGACGATCGCACGGGGGAGGATGGGGGGAGGACTGCGCTGCCATCCGGGTGGGCTGTCGCCTGCCTCCTCGCTCTTGAAGCATGCACGGCTGGCCCCCAGTGTGGGGGCCGCGGATTGCGACCGACTACATACATAAGTGACCCCAGGAAAGAGTGACCGTTGGTGCGCGGCTTTAGGGGGGCCGCAAGGAGGCCTAACCTCAGCGCGCAACACGCTACTATCGCATCGCGTTCGACGGTCGGAGGACCCCTGTGGGCCCGCACCAAAGGTCTCTCCGGCGAAGGGTCACTCTTACTAGGGGGCCAGATGCGAACCCTACCCCTACCTCCCACGATTTCTGAGGGAGAGGGTGGGGTTCACTTTGCTCGGGAGCCCCCGAACGAAGTGAACCCCACCCTCCCCCTCAGAAATCGTGGGAGGTAGGGATAGAGTTCGCATCTGGCCCCCTACTTACGTGTAATCGATGCGAGGAGGGCTGCGGTGTACGGGCTCAGCTCCCCCGCAAGCGGTGGCTCGCGTCGGGCATCAGGACACTGGCCCCGGCAGGCACAAGGCCCCTATAAACGGGTCTGGTGCAAGGGTCGCGGAGTACAAGAGCTGCGCTGTGCTCGGTCCAGGCCCCCCCGCGCGCGCGCTGGCTCGCGTCGGGCATCAGGACTCTCGAAAACGGGATCCATGGGCGACCCTCAAAGGCGACCTGTCGGTCAAAACGGCCTACGGGCGTGGATTGGAGACCTTGGTTGGGAAGGGACCGACCGTCCTGGCATTCCTGTTGGCCTACCACGAAACATTTTTAGAGCTATGAGTTTAGAACTTCAAACCTATGTACCAAACAAGTGCTCAGAGAGACATTGTCTGAAAACATTGCGTTGAAACCACAAGCGCTTCTCAGAACGTTTCTGTTGGGCCTGCAGGCAAGACAGAACACTTCGCCACTGCATGAGTCCAGGGGACAATGCTGAGGATGACGCGAGGTTGAGGGCAACGCAGAGCATGAGGATCCTGGACTCGGCGACGGTTCACCGTGAGTGCACGGTGCATTGAACGTGGTATCAAACACTGTTAGAGGAAGAAAAAACATCCAAACATCAACTTTCGAAGGTCCGCGCGAATTTCTTGGATTTGCGCTGGGCCCCCCTCCCTGGCGCGCTCCGCGCACTAGGGGCGGCGCCGGAGGCGCCGCTAGGGGGCCCCAGCGCGGATCCGAGAAATCCGCGCGAAACGCCAACAGTGTATGTTTATGGCTTTTTTTTCTTCTTCGGATCAAAACACTGTGGCAGGCGTCGAGGCACTCGTCGGACAGGACACGCTGGCACTGCCGAGACGCTGCTCGAAGCCAGGGACTCCCCAGCACGAGCGGAAATGCCAGACGACCAGCCGGCCCGGTCCACTCGGCGGCCAGCGCCCGAGCCAGCCGCAGCGGGCGCTGGGGCGCCGCGGTGCCTCGCTCTTGCCTGAGGGAAGCGGGTCCTGGATTTGGGTCGGGCTTCGTCCACCTACAGGGGGACTTTGGACGAATACTTAAACATACTCCAACGTTATTCGAAACATATCAAAAGAAACAACATCGTCCCCAGACTATGTTTGGAATATGTTGGAATGTTCTTCCTGTAGAGGGACACGCCCGATTTAATCCTGGATCCGTTGAGCAGGGGCCGACCGTCCTGGCATTCCTATAGGCCTATCACGACATGCTCCTAGAACCCGAAGATGTTCTAAGAACAAAACCAATGTTCTTAGGACATAAAGCCGATGTGTTAAAAAAACAGCCCCAGCCAGACATGTCCGAATGTTCTGAGGACATTTCGTGCAGACCACAGGAAAAGATTCCTAGACATTCTTCGGTGGGCCTAGAGGCCAGCTGGGACGATTCGCCACTGCTTGAATCCTGGCTCCCAGGAACCAATTCCTCCAGTTGGCGACTCCGAAGGGTGTGCTTTGCAAAGGGTGTGCTTTGCAGCCGGTACCCTGGAGGGCACCCTGGGGTGCGGGCGGGGACCTCGACGGAGTTCTCCGCCGCGCTCAGAAGAAGCCTGGCGAGGACAACGTCGTGCTCCCCAGGCCTCAACCGTGCCGATCGCAAACCACACCTGGGCGTAAATAACCATACCCTTTGCAGTCGCCAATCCATCCTGAGCCGTTATCATCACGAGCGGCGAACGGATCCATATCCACGCCCTCGCGGTCTGGATTCCGGGGCGCGCACCCGTGGATCCGAGGTCGCATGGGTACGTTTCGCACCGGGCATCCGCAGAAAAAGCGGCGCCCCACAAAGGTTGCGGCCCAATGGGCTTGCCCGTGAGGCTGGTGGATACGGGCACAGGCGGACCTGATTGGACAGGACACCCGAGAGGACACAAGACTTTCCCGACGGCAGCCTGGTCCCAGAACAACAGTGGACACGTGGGTTGCATAGGTCGGGACAGACAGGACACACGGGTAACCTCGATGTGGCGTGGTCGATCTACCAAATCAGGGCCGACTGCACACAATGCCCTTGTTTATACATGCTCCGCGTGCGGATCATGTATTAAAACATGCAGGGATTTAGTATCAAAAACAAAGATGAGTTCATGCATGAATGTATGCATCAATCAATCATGTATTAAACAAATCCTATATGTTTAAAATCCTATGTATGAAAAACTGTCCATGCTTCCCGCCCTCGATTTCAGGCAGTCCTGGGGCCCGCGGAGGACCCACGGAGGCCAAGAACGGCGAAGGACCTCTGGGACCCGACTCCCTCAGGACCCTCGGCGACCTCCTGCCCTCCTGCCACTGCTCCTGCCCATGCTCCTCCTCCTCCTGCTGAGAAGAGAACGCGATGTTCTTCCCTCCTCCCTCCTCCTCCTCCTCCTCCTCCTCCTCCTCCTCCTCCTCCTCCTCCTCCTCCTCCTCTTCCTCCTCCTACCTCCTCCTTTCTCCTCCTACTACCTCCTCCTACCTCCTCCTACCTCCTCCTCACGGAGCCCTTCTTCGAGTGGTGGGCACCTGTTGCCCTCCCCCCGGCCTACTGCGCCCGCCCCCGCCCCCCTGGGCGGCTGCCCTCGGGCAGGCGGCGTATCTGCCTCAGGGCGATGTCCTCGGAGGCCTCCCCGGGGGGGGGTCCGAGCGGATGGCGTGGAAGGATCGCCCCGCACCCCCGATGCATCGGCGATGCATCGGCGCCGCCTGCGCGGAGAAACCTCGGCTTCACAGCGAGCCGCATCGTCGATGCGGAGCGATCCTTCGGCCCCATCTGCGCGGACCCCGCCTGGGAGGCCTGCAGCACAGGTGGACAAACGCGTTCCACGACTCGCAAAGCAACTGCTCGCAACTGGCCTGGAGCCGCCGCGAGGGACTTACGATGCATTCCATTGAGGAACTATTTCTTCCCTCCTGGACGTTTGCGAGTACTGGGATGACCGTGGGGGGTTCCAAATGGACAGGGGGGTTACAAATGGATGCTAAGATGGGCTATATCTGGTCCAACCCGGCTTGCAAGTGGGTTACACAAACTCCGCTAAGTGGGCGGAGCCCTCTTAGCTCGGATCGTGAACCCCCCTAAGCTACTTGGGGCATTTGTAACCCACTTATAAGCCAGGGTGGGCCAGATATAACCCACCTGAGCATCCACGTGTAACCCCCCTATCCACTTAGAACCCCCCACGGTCATCCCAGCATGCACACTGCGAGCAGTGGAACGAGCTTGGTGAATTAGAGGCCTCCTAGATGGGGTCGGCGTAGATAGGGTCGGAGGATCATGCCGTATCGCCCGGCGATGCACCGTCGAAGTCGGCGATGCATCGGCGACGTCGATGTGAAGCACGCCGGGCTGCGCATCGAGCCGCATCGGCGATGTGTCGGCGATGCGGCGCGATCCTCCGACCCTGTCTACTCCGACCCCATCTGGGAGGCCTAGATTCAGGTCGAGCCTGTCTCCCTACAGGGGGATTTTGGACGACAAATAAAAGATACCCCAAAAATGCCCAACACATGCCCCAAAGAACACCCAAAAAGGTCCCCAGACAATATTTTCACTATTTCTGAATATTCCCCCTGTAGAGGGACAGGCCCGACTTAAGCCTAGATGAACAGGGGTACTTGAAGAGGAGATGGAGGAGGAGGAGGAGGAGGAGGAGGAGGAGGAGGAGGAGGAGGAGGGGAGGGGGGGAGGGAGAGGGGGAGGGAGGAGGAGGAGGAGGAGGAGGAGGAGGAGGAGGAGGAGGAGGAGAGGAGGAGGAGGAGGAGGAGGAGGAGGAGGAGGAGGAGGAGGAGGGAGGAGGGAGGAGGAGGAGGGAGGAGGAGGAGGATCCCCAGATGAACAGGGGTGTCCTCGAAGAGGAGGCGCACCGCCGCGCCCGGCCGCTGCCCGCGCCCCGCGGGCGGCGGCAGCGCCACGGAGGCCACCAGCTGCAGCCGCCCGTGGCGCAGCGAGGGGGGGCGCAGCGCCAGGGGCTCCCCGAAGGCGCGCGGGGGCGCCGGCGCGGCGGCGGCGCCGGGCTCCGCCAGGGCCGCCCGGACCCAGCGGCAGAACGGGTCCCTCGGCCACGCCGGCTAGGGGACCGAAGGCGAACCCCACCCCCCTGCCCCCCACGAGTTCTGAGGGGGGAGGGCGGGGTGCACGTCGCTCGGGAGCTCCTGGGCGAAGTGAACCCCAGCCTCCCACTCAGAAACCAAGGAGGGTAGGGGTAGGGTTCGCATGTGGCCCCCTAGCCGGGGGGTACGGATGTGGGTACGGATGTCGCATGGTTGCAACCGGCTTTGGCCTTCTCACCACCAGGAAGAGCTTCGAGCACCTGGAGGAGCACCGAGGCTCGAGGTTTTTCTCCTCTGTCGGGCCCTGGGAGACACTCGTCCCACACTGTTTCGACACTTTTCAGGGTGCTCGACATTCTTTCTGAGATGTGGTCCTTACGCACGATGGGAGCAGCATGCTCCGGGGGGCGGATCCACAGCCCACCGACTGGGAGGTGCGCCCCCGAGGGTCTGGCGGAGCGGTGGTCATTCATTGCCCTGGTCGCGGGGCTGAAGTGAGAATCCGTGGTGAAGATTCTGCTCGTTGCGTTGTTGTTGTTGTTGTTGTTGTTGGTGGTGTTGACGGTGTTGTTGTTGTTGTTGTGGTTGTTGTTGTTGTTATTGTTGTTGGTTGTCGTCGTCCCACCCGCGACCCACCCCGCGACCCACCCGCGACCCACCCCGCGACCGATCACGCGACCCATCCGCGACCGATCCCGCGACCCACCCGCGACACACCCCGCGACCCACCCGCGACACACCCCGCCACCCACCCGCGACCCACCAACGACCCACCCGCGACCCACCCCGCGACCCACCCCGCGACCCATCCGCGACCCACCCCCCACCCGCGACCCACTTGCGACCTACCCGCGACCCACCCCGCGACCCACCCGCGACCCACCCACGACCCACCCGCGACCTACCCACATTGGTTTAACGACAAATCGTCGCCTGCGCAGGGCTCGTTGCATAATTTGTGAAACTTCGGCGCCTGCGGCGGGCTTCTCCAGAGACTCGCAAACTGCCGACGTCCCCACCGACACCTCACTCCTATCCGCATCTGGTGCTACGTATATGCTCTTGCCTCTGGACTTCGCGGGGCCTACAGTCGGCCCGTGTCATGAGGATGCGCGATAAGGATGCAAGGGCTTTGGACGCCCATTTCGAAGCTTTTCGAGCGGGGCGCGGCGAACGAACGTGGCCAAGGATGGACCGAGGAGGCAAGGATGCAACGGTACTCCGAGTTTCTTAATAAGCGTCGGGGGGGGCGTCACCCCCGCCGACAGCCCCACATCGACCCCCGTCGCGGAGAGCCACCGCGCGCCGAAGGCGCTCCGACCCCCGTCGCGGCGCGATGACGAGGCGAGGATGACCTCCGTCGGGGGGGTACGCCCCATGAGCATCAAGAAACCCAACGTATTCTTGGGAAGGTTACCCATATTGATATACAGGCTGGCTGTATCCCCACCTAAGGGGTCTGGCTGGCGGGGCTCAGACGCCGTAGCTCCACAGGAACCGGGGTCATTCAAACGATGATGACGTCGGTGGGGGGGGGGCACGGTCAACAAAGAGTATCACTGACGCGATATGCCGCCGTGGAGACGCCATCAGCGTGTCACTTCCGACAAAGCAACGTACTTCAGACGCAGGCGAGTGAGTAACACGCTGACGGTCTCCCAGCGGCTGCGTATTGTTGATACTCCATTTCCCTCCCGAGCTAGGTAGAGGAAAGATAACTATGCACATACACCAATTCTGGCCAGGCTCATCCTGAGCCCAGGATCGGCGCATACGCCCTCCTGCCTTGGCCAGGAAGGCACATGTACCGATCCTGGGTCAAGGATGGACCGTGCCAGGATCGGTGCGTGTGCATAGTTTTCTTCGCCCGAGCTGGGTAAGCATGGATGTGCTTCCACCCTTGGGAACGGGCGGGAAGGCATTGCCGCGCCCAGCGATCAAAGAGATCCTCCGGGCTGAGCCTCCAGATCGGTGTACCGTAGATGCGCCCCCCCCATACCCCCGACGCCAAAACTTCTGCATCCCGCGTCATTCTGTGCTGCGACCCTCGGGCGCGGCGTGGATTAGCACAGACCTCCTGGTCCTCCTCCTCCCCTCCTCCTCTTCCTCCTCCCCCTCCTCCTCTTCCTCCTCCTCCTCTTCCTCCTCCTCCTCCTCCTCCTCCCACTCCTCCGCCTCCCTCCTCCCTCCTCCTCCTCCTCCTCCTCCTCCTCCTCCCCCTCCTCCATTTCCCCCCCCTCCTCCTCCTCCGATCCTCCTCCCTCTTCCTCCTCCTCATCCCTCCTCTTCCTCCTCTCCTCATCCTCCTCCTCCCAATCCTCCTCCTCCTCCATCCTCCTTCCTCCTCCTCCTTTTCCCCTCCTCCTCATCCCTCTCCTTCTCCTCCTCCTCCTCATCATCATCATCATCCCTCGTCCTCCTCCTCCTTCTCCTCCTCCTCCTCTTCCTCCTCCTCCTCCTCCTCCTCCTACGCGGTCCCCGAAGTTCTGACCCTTTTCCCTGAACCAATTCATCCTCAGCTGCTCTTTGACGGTTTAGAGGGCCAGCTCGGGCCCGCGGGGGCCGAAAACTGCCAAACAACGTCCATGCCCTTGCATGTTTCATTGTTGTACGTCGTTGTCCTGCAAGATGATCTAAGATACTCCCCGATGTTCCTTCCCAAGAGAATTCAAAGTGCACGAGCCCGAGCGATGCCAAAACCAAAGTTTAGGTCGGGTACGTTTTCCTACAGGCGGATTTGGGAGGAAACTTACAACATAGTAAGCATATACTCAAAAATCCGCCGACCCTGTCGGCGTGTGGAATGGGCTGTTCGTCGTGGTTGTTGCCTCCCTCGCTGCTCCCGCCCTGTGCTGTTCGCCATGATTGTTGTCCCCCTCGCTGCTCCCCTCTCCGTTGTCGTCGCCGTCGCCTCACGGCCGTCGCCGTCTCCCACCTCAAACCGTCGCCGTCTCCCACCTCAAATTGAGCAACGTCGTAATTGAGTCGAAGGGAATCCCCTTCCCTGCCCCGACGGGGGGGGGGGGTCTCGGGTGGGGGTGGGGGGAGGGGTGGGGGGGGGGGCTGGGAGGGGGGTGGGGGGGGGGGAGGGTTGGGGTCCCGGGTCAGCATACCATCTCCCTCGGGGGGTCCCAGGGCCAACGCAAGCCTCCAGACGAGCCAGGAGTGGCCCAACAGCCCCTCAACATATTCCAAGAGGGCCCCGAATCGCCGAACGATCGGTTCAAGACGTCAAAGGTAGCCTCCACACGGGCCAAGAGGCCTCCAAGTCGCCCCAAGAGCCCCCAAGACTATTCCCAAAGAGCCCGAAAAGTGACAATTCATTGATTTTCCTAGGTAGTTCTTGAAGGATTGTGGCGTTCTCGCCTTTCGGCTTCCCGACTCTAGGAGATAGCCCAAGAGGCCTCCAAGAGAGTCCCAAAACTACCCAAGAGGGCCCCAAGACAGCCCAAGAGGCCGCGAAGGTGGCCCAAGAGGCACCAAGAAGGCCCCCCGACGGGACACCCCAACTAACATATCGAGCACTCGGCCCCGAGAGGCCTCCAAAAAGCCCAAGACGTCCCCAAGATGCCCCCAAGAGGCCACAAGAGGCCCCGAGAGGCCCCTAGGAAGCTCCAAAAGGCTCCCAAGAGGCTCCGACGAGGCCACCAAGATGCTCTCAATATGCCCCCAAACTGCCCTCCAGAAGACCCCGAGATCGCTACTACTACTACAACTACTGATACTGCTACTGGTCGTATTACTACTACTACTACTACTACTACTACCACTACTACTACTACTACTACTACTACTACTACTGCTACTACTGCTGCTGCTGCTGCTGCTGCTGCTGCTGCTGCTGCTGCTACTGCTACTGCTACTGCTACTGCTAGTACTACTACTACTACTACTACTACTACTACTACGACTACTACTACTACTACTACTACTACTACGACTACCACTACTACTACCACTACTACTACTACTACTACTACCACCACCACCACCACCACCACCACCACCACCACCACCACCACCAC